TTCAGTTTCTACAAATGCAAGAGGTTCACATTCAAATCTGCATGCACTACGGTGTGTAGTGTAGCATTGTTAGACTCGTCCATGTAAATGCATGAGATGGTGACACTACACTGTAGGGGGACTACGTATGCAACTGACAAGCTGTGGCATTGACAGGGACAGTGTTTAGAAACCGCTAAACGGGTCTACATCGATAGATGTGACCAATGTTGTTCGGATAGGGTTGTAATTGCAGATTGTTGTTCATATTTTACACGTGTGGCTTAACGATCCTCTACCGTAACGCTTCGGAATCTCCAATATATTGGTAGGGACTGACTTGGCACGCAACAATACATCCCTTTAACGAGTTTGCCCGCACATTGGCGGTCGAACAACAAAGATGAAGATGCCACGTCTGCATTCATGTGTCCCGCTTTCACATCTGCAGGCATAGCTCATGTAGATTTGTTGGCGCGCATTACTAACTCTAGCGTGATCGCCGCTGAACAAATCTTGCTAGTTGCATGGTAGTCACTACATTCAAGAACCAACATAACATAACATAGCATTGGATCGCTCACTCTGGAAGACACGCAAACAAAACTTTATAGTCTACATCTTACTATTGTGGTTCTCATATCTGAACGTGAAAATGTTTACACAATCTACACAGACACCCGAAACTCCGGCACAGATAGGTGGCGTAGAAGATGGGCATCTACTCCCCATAACCGTACATGATTCACGTACTGCAGATACTCGAATGCGACATTCTCCTCCAGCTTGTGAGCTACCCTTGTACATTAATGTGGTACTTCGTTAATAACATGGCGATTAGAATGAGCATCTTGTGAAATTGATTGGAGATGAACGCTGGTAAACTATACTCTGTTTTCTGTTCCGTACACTGCTATGTTGTTTATTCGATAACAACATTTTGTTACAGCTTACCAAGTCCACTTGGCGCGCAACAGTTCATCCCTTTAACGATTTTGCCCGCACATTGGCTGTCTAAAAACAAAGATGAAGATGCCACGTGTTCGTTCACCATGTGCTGCTACCTCACGTGCGATGTATGGTGACCATGTCTGCATCATACAATCATCGTCTAAAATGAACCGAGTTTATACAGTTATTCATCGATGAATATGACCATTGCAGATGGGATATCTGCCACCTCGCGTGCTTCGGGGTACTCCGAAACACAAAGATGAAGTCGGAACATGTGTGTTCCAGATTTGCTGCTACCTCACGTGGGATGTTCTGCGATGGTGTTTAGATTAAGATGACCTTATCCCGAAACGTTTATCCTCTCTACAGAGGGGTGGCTGTTAAGCCTTTACGATTGTGTTTGGACTAATATATCTCGGAAATCAAACACATTTGTGAACAAACATGTCAGACATGTTTTCACATTTGAACCAAAACCTTCGAAAATATTCGAGGTGGGTTTCTACGCATAATTCAAAGTGTGAGTCATCACCCATCCTGCATTGTCTACTCATACTCCCGCATTTGATTGCGTGTACGGGGAAAGTGTACTATGCGGTGTATTGTTTTCCGAACGCCTGACCATCCAGGTAGCCCACCACCATACACATGCAATTGCGAGGCAGAGTTACACAACCTTTTATGGGCCCACATTCATTTGCATACGGTCACACGTCGGTTTCTAACATCGCGGTAGATATTGTATGCAACGAATTATCTAACCACTCTGAATCCATGCAAGCAATATTCTATCTCCTCTAAGAATGCTGAAGCATCCTCTGGCGACGCACTACACAAGATGGGATGAGAGTAAGTGCGGCTCCCTGGTGACGAAGAAGTCCAGCGGCAGCGTGACCACACCTTAACCAGTGTACCAGTACTCTAGACACCACCTTGGCGAGGTCCATAATCAGCGCGCCATTATTCGGATTCTGGGACTCCACAATCTCGCGCTGCAGCAGCAGCGACCATTCCTCTGCGCTGTGACGTTCACGAGCATGGCTCTGCATTACAACTATAGATGCGCGTGCCGCATCCGCAGCATGCCCCGCTAGAACTGCATCCCGTGTAATGGTTCGTACTACTCCCCTGGCGCCGGACATGTAGTCAGCAGATGTAGTAGCCCCTGACGCGGCCCACAAGGTATATAGCGCAGCGGCCAGCCCAGCCACGAAGACAACCACCTGTACGCCTTGTGGCGGCGTCATGTCAGCAATGCACACATGCATGACTGACTGTCCAACACCAGTGCACAGCGCACGTTCCCCATCGTCACCCGACCGGAGACGCTCTTTCGTTCTCTGCACAACGATATCAAACCTGCGTTTAAGGTGGCAAGAGGAGCATCAGATTTGTTGGAACATATAACTAGTGATAGACTGGAACTCCAGGCACTCACCTGTCGATCCGGTCGAGATGGAGTTCGTTCATCACGCTCCATACTCCAGTGGGCAACAACTTGGCAAACTCAAGCAGCGGTGACCAGATCTGGATGTCACTCAGCCTCAGCCCGTAGTATTTGAGGTCGATATCCGGAAAATATGTCGACCAGCAGATGGCAACGGTGAAATCCCGACTCCGCTCTGTAATATGCAACCCCATGTTCCGCTTCCGTCCGCCCACCATCTGCTCTGAGAAGTAGCGTATCTTATCATTCCCAAATCGTCTAATGAAAAAATCAGGCGACTTGAACAGTCGGGCAACATTGACACGCTTTCCCTGTGTGGCTGGCTCGTCTTCAGACTTTTGCGACCCGTCTCCTTCATCATCGCCATCTCCCGCACCCGCTGCAACACACACCACTGTTGAACATTTTTTCGTTTCCGATAGAAGCGACGACACGGTAGCGTGGTAAACGCCTTCTTTGCCGTAGCTCTCATGCATGGTCTTGGCCAGTTTAACGCGTACTCCGCCGTCAATCTCGAGATCCAGCACCTCCATGTATTCCTGACGTCGATGTCTGCCGCAAAGTCACCTTAGAATCGCCGAAATTGAGAAAAGTAGGCAGTTGACTGATCTACATCAAGATTAGCGTTCAGTGTTTGATGTGAAAGGACTATATAACCTGCTCACGCCGAGTTGGGCACCACATCTGTGATATAGACCAAGAGCAAGTCCATTTGCTTTCTGCATTTGTGGCCGCCAGGTCATTGCAATCCGCAGATTGACACGTCGACAATGAAACGCTATATATTCTGTGCAATTTTATCAGGTTGCGGTGGCTCTACGGGTAGGATGCCACTTGTTGTGCTGCAATGTACACTAAACATGTGCCGTTGGCTTCCATTGCCACGTCAATGTTGCATTGGTTTGATAGTTGGGCGAATAGAAGGCGTAATGGTAGTCGGCGTAGATCGCAACTATGCCTCGTTTGGTGACGGAACGCAAAGATGAAGATGCCACGTGTTTAGCAGTGTCTGCGCTCGTGTTGGCGCGCCGCATTTCGCATAACTGGCACATCAAATTTATGGTCAACTGTGATATCTACAATCGTGTGGCACGTTGCCACATCTGCAACCGGAAACTCCCCAAACTATTGGCGCGCTGCACAAGCAAGGGCCACTGTAATTGGTCGAATGACAATTCCCCATGGTAGTGGAAACTACGTCGTATTGGACCAATGGGACGTCATGAGTTTGCGGATAGTGTCTGCACTTGGTGAGACACGTGTTGAATAAACCTGGTGATTATAAACTGAATGTTCGCGCTGGCGCGCAGCAATGTTCTGCGCCACGTCTGCATTGATGTTTCACTCTACCACATCTGCAGTCGAGTGTCAAGCAAATCTGTCGGCGCGCAATACATGCTCGATCGTATTGGCGCGCAGCAATTCCTAAATGTTGCACGTGAACTTCTACAATAATAACAGATTTGAATACAATAGGCACGCACATTACTGCAGTTATGCACATTTTCACGCGTATCCTGTGTCATGCAGCCACATCTGCAGTCGAACCCTGATGCAAATCTGCGGGCGCTCATGTCCGTTTTTGCTTATGTTGGCGCTCTGCAAATCCAGAATGACCACCTGATAACCCTTAACTTTCGGGTTGGCCCAGTTTGACACGTGGACTCCCTCCCGAATTAGGAAGTGTTCGGTGGTAGATAGTTCGTGTAGTGCGCTTATCTACATCCCATCGACGTACAAGACCTCTACGAATAAGCCCTACTCGTATTGCCTCTACGAATAAGCCTATATCGAGTGTTTTGTACGCTTGTTATGCAGAAAACTATCACGGTCGTCTATAGAACCGTAGGTGTAGTTTCAACATTTACTACTTAGAGATACTTTCTTGAAGAACTATCGGATAGTCAATATATATTGTACAAACTACATAGAGCACACACAATCTAGAAACTGCCCATGTAGAAAACAATTATTCAGCAGCCTGCTTTTGTCTAGGCGGCCGCCTACTTTTCGCAAACTTCAAACTAACCTTCTGGTGTCTAGCTAGGCCTAATGAAGACACTGGGCATTGACACCAGTAGACAACCACCTTTGCTACTACCTTAGCCATGCTATCCACGCCCTCGTTAAGCTCCTCTTGCCGAAAACGCGTTTTGATCGCTGCTGCTACAAACGGCTCCCATTTCTCCTTCTCATGTACTTCTTTAGACAGGCTTCGCAGAGCAGGAACGATGTGGCTTGCTACCTCCGCTGCACGGCCCGCCTCGTCAGCATCGTTGTACGCTCTTACCGCTGCGTCTTGAGCATCTGCTTTCCATCGTGTGTCTGGCTTGTTGATCGAGGCAGACCACAGTGTGCAGAGAGCAGCCGCGACACCTGTCGCGTACGTCACAGGGTCAACAGTTGCTGGCGGGTTCGGTACCCCTGCCTTCGTCCCAAGTAGAGCTGCTCGAGCCACACCTGCAGAGAGGGCGATCTCTAACCTTATCTGCCGTGCAATAAGGTCGGTCGTTTTCTTCATAAGGACCTTGAAACTGCACCAGGGAACAAAGGTAGGGGTGGGGTTAGAAATCATACACAAGTTTGTTCGTTGGCGCAGAAGTCATTTTGTGATCTAAACTCACTTGGCATATCTGTCCAGCGACAGCTCGTTGATGACACTCCACACGCCAGTCGGCAGGGATACCGCAAATTGGAGTTCATCGCGCCACCTTTCAATATCTGTGGCGGGGATCCCGTAAGACGACAAGTTGCAATCCGGGAAGTACGCCAGCCAGCAGACACAGACGGTGAAGTTTCTACTCCACGCCCCCTTATGTGACCCCATGTTTTGCTTCTTGCCCCCTAGCGTCTGCTCAGATGTGTACCGCATCTTCTCAGGATCGTTTTTGTTTCTCTCGAACAATCCCGGCGCCTTGAACGGCCGATGCACTACAAGTCTCTTCCCCTCGTCGTCCGCCTCAGGAACTGGCTGCTCGTGTGAATCATCGTCAGCTCTCTCTACATCGGCGTCGCCCACTTGCAGAACCTGTAGAACACCGAACCCAAGGGTGGGCAAATCGACCCCACCCCGCGTTGCATCTACTAGATGCACAACCGCATCCCCTGGCTGTGAATTGTTGGCAGAGCATAGCCTCTTCGCTGCAGGCCTTTCAGCGTCACACTCCGATTGTACGCGTTGACGTCTCCGGTCACCATCCGCGTCTTGGGTGACCATCACTTCCTTGTGATGGACAACTCGTAAAGCACCATCTGCCCCCCTCTCCGTACGATCCACATTCAACGTGATCCACTCAGCATCTTCGCATTGACTCTGCCCCACTCCTGCATCTCGCTCCTGCATCTCTGCATGATTCTGCGCTCTTTTTTCCGCAGCCGTTGCGCTCCTTTGTTCCCTCTCCTGCATTCGCCCGCCGCTGTCCTCTTCTGCAGAAAGATCATCTGCAGACCGCACGTTATCCAGGTTTGGTGTTCTGCGCCCTTCAGCTTCTACGGCTTCCCGGCGTGGTAGTGTGGCTTGATCTGCCGCAATCGAGGGCACACCAGTATCCTCCGCCTCGATCCTGTCCCCTGAAGTACCCCAATTTGTGCGTTCTCGCGCGTCGAAAGGCACCAGTGGTGTAGATCCAGTCACCGCCTCCGTATACCGCGCATCCATCTGCCGCGCCATCCTAACTCTCTCTACCATGGAGGTGGCGATCGTGATACCACGTTGTGCTGTCCGTCCAGAGAGGGATCCTGTTATTGTCCTCGTAAAACGGGCTGGTGGTGCGGGTGCTTGTCGTGCAGATTCTCCCCGTTCCACAACTCCCTCCGAATCCTCCACTGTACGTTCTGGCGGACCCTCTACATTGCAACTGTCGGTAGCTGTTACACCAAGATCTGCCACGTGATCGCTTTGCAGCCGTTCCTCTGCCGTGATCTCTTGCTCGTCCTCCTTTGCCAAACGCTCTTGCTCGTCCTCAAGTCGCTTTCGCTCAATCTCCATTTCCCTATGCCGTCTTTCCGCTTCTGCCCTCTCCCGTGCAGCATCCTCCTCAAGGCGCTTGCGCCTTGACTCTGCCATCGAAAGTGCTGCCGCCCTCGCCGCGCGCCTCTGCGCCGCTACCCGTTCCTGTTCGACTCTTAGCCTCGCCTCTTCCGCCTCTCTAGCAGCACGCTGCTCCTCCTCGAGCGCTCTTTGCCGCTCTGCTTCCTCCATGCGCCGCTGTTGCTCCGCAGCCTCACTAGCACGTTGTTCATTCGCCTTTTCTCCATCCTTGTCAGCCCGCCCCACGCTGGTCACCGCCGTGGGTTCGCCACGTCCCATCTGCGCCTCCCTTTCAACGCTGGTGTGTTCCCCTCCCGTCTCTGTACGTCTTTCCGACTCCAACATCTCCTGTCGGCCTGCAAACCCCCATCTCTCGACCATGTTCGCGGCCGCCGCGAGCGCTGCATCTAGGAAGTTGTCACACGCGAAAGGTTGGGAGAAATGCGGGGCAGACGGTGGGTTGGGTTGTTGGACCGGAACTTGGCCGACCTGTATCCTCCCAGACAGCTTCTCATCCACCGCTGCCAGGATGTCGGCTTTCAAAGTCTCAAGCCTCCGGCAATTCTCATCCATCGCAGACTTGACCCCCGAAAGTGTTTCTTGGACGTTGGCGATAATAGCCTTTTTCATCGTCTCCATGTAGTCGTTGGGTAGAACCACCCTAAGTCTTCCCTCCAGCGCCGCCCGGCCCATTGCCGCATCTACCCCCTCTTTCACATGCTCCTTCAACGAGCTCAACAGCGTCACGTACTCCCGTGTCACTGCGCGTTGAACTGATTCGGCTACTCTGCAATGGAGCCCCTATATAGAAGTGTTGATTTCCGTGCGTGTCTGCACTGCCCTCTGACGTTCGATGATTGCTATCGCCTTAGCCTCTCTGTACTCCCGCAGCATGTTTTCAGCGTCTTCGTTGTAGTCCTCTGTCCACCGGGCAATGCGCGTACATGCAAATTGGAGCTGGCGGAGGTTGCCACTAATCCTAGCATTCTGTTGTGCGGAGCTGCTGGCCACGGCCTGCGCGACGAGCGTTAGACGTCTTAGGACTTCTGCCACTCCGGCCACACCATCACCAACTCCGGTTGTTCCCGCCTCCACAAACCCATCACCAGTCTCCTCTAATATGGCTGCTCCTTGCATGCCGTTCTGCCGAACGAAGTTCTCGGCTTCCCCCCACTCGCGTTCTCTCTGCGTCATAGCACTATCCCGTCCGGCGTTGAGAAACTGATCACTCGCATCACGCGTAGCCCTCGCCACTTCATCACCTGCCACCGCCTCCACCATCCTCTCTTCCCGCTCAACCCGCATCCTCTCTGTTTGCAATCTTGCTCGTCGCGTGACCACCTGCTCGTCCCACCTACGGCGCATGTGCTCAACCTCTTGCCTCGCTCTCGTTGCAGATGCCTCACGCTCCCGTTCAGCGTTTGCCAACCTTTGCTCATCCTCGGCGATTGCCCGTACTGTCGCATCATCCAAAGCCTGAGATGCTCTAGATGCGTTTCCCCCATTCACTGCAGTTTCTGTCTCCGCGTTTGCTCTTTGCACTTCGACCGCACTATCCCGTTCATTCTCCTCCCGTGCGCTCCGAGCGTCCTCAGCCAGAATCTGACGCAATGCCTTGGCCTCTACCCTTGCCATCTTTGCAGCGTGTAGTCTTTCCCGCTCCCCCTCCGCTCTACACCGTTCTCGTTGCGCCCTAAGCCGCTGGACAGCTTCTGCCAACTCCTGTTCATGTTCTAAATGCTCCCGCTCTTCGGCAGCTCTCCTCCTCGCTGCCTCCTCGCGTCGTTGGCGAGACTCCAATTCATCCACCCATCTGCGGCGCATCTCCTCAAGCTCAGCAGCCCTCATCTCATCCCCTTGAGTTCTTCCTAGTTCCCCGCCCACTCTCCCATGCTCTGTCGATGTTGTAACACTCTCTACCCCCATTTCAACGTCTGCATTCTGCCGAGGGTCCTCTGTTGTTCGGCGAGCCGCCGTCGTGGCAATGCGCGTTTCCTCCGCGCTGGGTTGTATCACCTTGGACTCAAGCCTGACCTCATCCATCCGCAGATCCTCTTCCTCTCTACGTATAATCGCCTCTGCCTCGCTCATGACCCTCTCTACCGGATGTCTACGCCGCTCTTCCTCCTCTCTGCGAGATAACAGGTCTGCCTCGTCCCTCATCCGCTCTGCAGCTGCAGCCCTCAGCCGATCATGCTCAGCTCTCAAGAGCTCCTCTATGACCATGGACCTTTCTGCATCTTCCCTTGCTCTCTCTGCCGCCTCTTTAGCACGCCGCGCCTCTTCCTCCGCCATTGCATGCTGCCGTTCTTCTTCCGCCCTCCTTCGCTCCTCTACGGCCATCGCCTTATCTGCGTCCTCTCTTGCACGCCGCTCCTCTTCCTCTCTATGAATCATTGCAACTGCTTCCGCCCTCACCCTATCTGCAGCCTCTGTCCTCTGACATTCATGCTCCTCTCTCATGCGCTCCTCTGCGGCTCTCGCCCTCTCTGCCGCCTCTCTAGCACACAGCGCCTCCTCCTCTCTGCGAACGATCGCTGCTGCCTCCGTCCTGACCCTTTCCTCAGCCTCTTCCCTCTGCCGTTCATGTTCCGCTCTCCTTCGCTCCTCTATGGCCTTCGCGTTCTCTGCCTCCTCTCTTGCACGCCGCTCCTCTTCCTCTCTACAAATCATTGCAACTGCTTCCGCCCTCACCCTATCTGCAGCCTCTGCCCTCTGACGTTCCTGCGCCTCTCTCATGCGCTCCTCTGCGACCCTCGCCCTCTCTGCCGCCTCTCTAGCATGCAGCGCCTCTTCCTCTCTACGAAAAATCGCTGCTGCCTCCGTCCTGACCCTCTCCTCAGCCTCTTCCCTCTGCCGTTCATGTTCCGCTCTACTTCGCTCCTCTACGGCCTTCGCGTTCTCTGCCTCCTCTCTTGCACGCCGCTCCTCTTCCTCTCTACGAATCATTGCAGCTGCTTCCGCCCTCACCCTATCTGCAGCCTCTGCCCTCTGACATTCCTGCGCCTCTCTCATGCTCTCCTCTGTGACCCTCGCCCTCTCTGCCGCCTCTCTAGCACGCAGCGCCTCTTCCTCTCTGCGAACGATCGCTGCTGCCTCCGTCCTGACCCTCTCCTCAGCCTGTTCCCTCTGCCGTTCATGTTCCGCTCTACTTCGCTCCTCTACGGCCTTCGCCTTCTCTGCCTCCTCTCTTGCACGCCGCTCCTCTTCCTCTCTACGAATCATTGCAGCTGCTTCCTCCCTCACCCTATCTGCAGTCTCTGCCCTCTGACGTTCCTGCGCCTCTCTCATGTGCTCCTCTGCGACCCTCGCCCTCTCTGCCGCCTCTCTAGCACGCAGCGCCTCTTCCTCTCTGCGAACGATCGTTGCTGCCTCCGTCCTGACCCTCTCCTCAGCCTCTTCCCTCTGCCGTTCATGTTCCGCTCTACTTCGCTCCTCTACGGCCTTCGCCTTCTCTGCCTCCTCTTTTGCACGCCGCTCCTCTTCCTCTCTACGAATCATTGCAGCTGCTTCCGCCCTCACCCTATCTGCAGCCTCTGTCCTCTGACGTTCCTGCGCCTCTCTCATGCGCTCCTCTGCGACCCTCGCCCTCTCTGCCGCCTCTCTAGCACGCAGCGCCTCTTTCTCCCCGCGAACGATCGTTGCTGCCTCCGTCCTGACCCTTTCCTCAGCCTCTTCCCTCTGCCGTTCATGTTCCGCTCTACTTCGCTCCTCTACGGCCTTCGCGTTCTCTGCCTCCTCTTTTGCACGCTGCTCCTCTTCCTCTCTACGAATCATTGCAACTGCTTCTGCCCTCACCCTATCTGCAGCCTCTGTCCTCTGACGTTCCTGCGCCTCTCTCATGCGCTCCTCTGCGACCCTCGCCCTCTCTGCCGCCTCTCTAGCACGCAGCGCCTCTTCCTCTCTGCGAACGATCGCTGCTGCCTCCGTCCTGACCCTCTCCTCAGCCTCTTCCCTCTGCCGTTCATGTTCCGCTCTACTTCGCTCCTCTACGGCCTTCGCCTTCTCTGCCTCCTCTTTTGCACGCCGCTCCTCTTCCTCTCTACGAATCATTGCAGCTGCTTCCGCCCTCACCCTATCTGCAGCCTCTGCCCTCTGACGTTCCTGCGCCTCTCTCATGCGCTCCTCTGCGACCCTCGCCCTCTCTGCCGCCTCTCTAGCGCGCAGCGCCTCTTCCTCTCTGCGAACCATCGCTGCTGCCTCCGTCCTGACCCTCTCCTCAGCCTCTTCCCTCTGTCGTTCTTGTTCCGCTCTCCTTCGCTCCTCTACGGCCTTCGCCTTATCTGCCTCCTCTTTTGCACGCCGCTCCTCTTCCTCTCTACGAGTCATTGCAGCTGCTTCCGCACTCACCCTATCTGCAGCCTCTGCCCTCTGCCGTTCCTGCCCCGCTCTCTTGCCCTCATCTGCGGACCTCGCCCTCTCTGCATCCTCTATCGCACGCATGGCCTCCTCCTCTTTGCGTTGCTTATCCTCTGCCTCCGGCCTGGCCCTTAATGCGGCCGCTGCCCTCTGCCGTTCTTCCGCCCTTGTCCGGTCCTCTACGGCCTGCGACGTCTCAGCCGCCTCCTTTGCATGCCGCGCTTCCTCCTCTCTGCGAACCATCATCGCTGCCTCCAGCCTTAATCTCTCAGCGGTCGCCCTATCTGCTTCCTCTCTCAGACGAACTGCCTCATCCTCTATCCGCATTTTTGCCTCTGCCTCGACCCTAGCTCTCTCTGCGGCCTGCGTTCTCAGCATTTCCTCCGCCGCTCTCTTCCGCTCCTCTGCGGCATTCGCCCTTTCTGCTGCCAGTTGACGACGCGCCTCCTCCTCGGTGCGTAATCTCGCACCTTCCTCCAGCGTCCGTGTTTGTTTCTCTGCTGCCAGCGCCGCCATCTCAGCAACCTCAATTGTACGACGCGCCTCCTCCTCTTTGCGTTCGTTCGCCTCTGCCTCCAACCTGGCCCTTTCTGCGTCCTCAACCCTCTGCCGTTCCTCTTCCGCTTTTTTTCGCTCCTCTGCGGCTCTGGCTCCTTTTGCCGCATTGTGAGGTCAATGCGTCTCCGCCTCCATGCGTACCGTCGCCTCACCCTCAGCCCTCGCCCTCTTCACACGCTCTGCACTCTGCCGGTCCTCCCCCCTCCTTGTCTGCTCGTCTGCGGCCCTTGCCATTTCCGCCTCCTTTCGCACACGTCGAGTTACCTCCTCTATGCATCTAAACTCCTCTGCCAATGATTTCGCCTTCTCTGCAGCCTCAGCCTTTGCTGCAACAGCCATTTCTCTGTCAGACTCTCCTGGTCCTGCAGCAGAATCAAGCTCGCTGCCGCGCAACACCTCTCCTGCCCCGTTCTCTATAGCGTCTATCTCTATCGTCACCCTCTCTGGTAGGCCACCTTCATTCCCCACCGAAGCAGGCTGTTGATTTGCACTACCATGCATTGACGTCGTTCCTCTGCGGGTATACACAAATGTCGATGACGCCGCCTCTACGGTTGTTCGCATTATCTCATTGTCGTTCTCGGACTGAGGATTCGGCCAATTGATTTGTACACCCTCCGCTTCTACTTCCATTGGTAGACGACCCTCACTCGCAATCCCTCCGTCCGGAACTTCCATAGCAGCTTCGCCGTCTGTACCATCCCCCTGGCCCACTAGCATCTCGTCCTCTTGGTCGTCGATGCGCACAGTGAATAACCTATCACACTCGCCCACAAGCAACTCCTTTACCTTATCTTTCGTGCGGGAGCCTTTGCCGAGTGTAACAAACGAGTCGTCCCACTGCAGCTGTAGAATGTCATCCCATTTTTCAAGCACCTTAGTCCATGCGTGGGCGACTTGAAGTCCCGAACCTGGTTGTGCCCATCCGAGATTTTTCGTCATCTGCCAGCACGGAGAACAATGTATTTGAGTTCGCGTGGTGTAACCCAAAACACATTAAGACGCATGCGAATATATTGACTGCTAAAATTACTCACCCCCCCTGGAAATTGGAGGTACAAATCCGACAGACGCGCCTTCATGTCGCGAACGACTATTTTGTCGTTCTTACAGCTGTTGCCTTCAATGAATGCTGTGTACTCGACAATCAATTGCTCCTGCAACCATCTGTAGTCAAAGACAGAATAACTGTCAGAATCATAAACCATCCAATTTCAATGGCAATGAGCAGCATTGTCAGATTTATATGACTTAGCTGCTGTAGGCTATAGTGGGGTAGCACATATGGGGTACAGCTTTCTAGGGTTTGTACTTGTACCCAACTTTCCCTTAGTCTTTTCATTCCTCGTGCATTTTCACATGGTATAGAGCAGGTTCCCCTGTGGGAACTGTTCCTTGGGCCCACCAACTTTTTTTTTCCTGCCCGGAGCGCGCTCAGCCTCTGCCCGAGTCACGCTCCCCTCTCACAGCCCCGTCGCGCCGCCCTTACGACCCCGTCGCGCCGCCTCAGCGGCCCCGTCGCGTCGCGCCTCCCTAGCGGCCCCGTCGCGTCGCCCTTGCGACCCCGTCGCGCCGCCCTTGCGGTCCCGTCGCGTCGCGCCGCCCTCGCGGCCCTTTCGCGCCGCCCTCGCGGCCCTTTTGCGCCGCCCTCGCGGCCTCCTCGAGCCGCCCTCGCGACCCCTCCACGCCGCCCTCGCGGCCCTGTCGCCTACCCTTGCGGCCCCGGCGCCACCCTTCCCGGCCCCGGTGCCGCCCTTCCCGGCCCCGGCGCCGCCCTTCCCGGCCCCGGCGCCGCCTCTGCTGGCCCCGTCGCCCCACCCTTGCGACCCCGCGGCCCCACCCTTAAGGCGCCGGTCGCCACCCTTCGTGGCCCCGCCGCCGCCCTCAGCGGCCTCGTCGCCGCCCCACCCGGCCCCGCCGCCGTCCCCACGCGGCCCCGCCGTTACCACCGAGCCGCCGGCGCCGCTGAGCCGCCGATCTACCGAGCCGCCGCTGCTGCCGAGCCGCCCGAGCCACCCGAGCCGCCCGAGCCGCCGAGCCACCTGAGCCGCCCGAGCCGCCGAGTCGCCGAGCCGCCGAGCTCCAGTTGCTGCCGAGCCGCCGTGCCGCCGAGCCGCCCGAGCCGCCCGAGCCGCCGAGTCGCCGAGCCGCCGAGCTGCAGTTGCTGCCGAGCCGCCGAGCTGCCGAGCCGCCCGAGCCACCCTGTCCGGTAAGAGCGGCACCTCTACCACTGCGCTGCCCTTACCCTACTGCTCCAGCTGCTAGTCTACTGCTGTCATGGCTACCCCCAGTGTCCTCGCTTTTGACGCTGAGGGTCGGGCCATTGACTTTGACGTCTGGGTAGATGACCTGCAGCTTTTCCTACAGTGCGACAGGGCAGACGGTCTCTCTCTCTTTGACCTCACTTCTGGTGCCTCTTCTGCCCCTGCTGCTGATGATGACGCCACTGTTCGCTCACAGTGGGCCACACGCGACGCTGCTGCCCGTCTTGCTGTGCGCCGCCACTTGCCTACCGCTGAGCGTGCACACTTTAGTCAGTACAAGAGTGCTAAGACCTTGTACGACGCTGTAGTTGCGAGCTACTCTTCCCCTGCCACTGCTGCACTTAGCCGCCTCATCCTGCCGTACCTCTTCCCTGACCTCGCCGCTTTTCCCACAGTCGCTGACCTCATTACGCACCTGCGCACTAGTGACACTCGCTACCGCGCTGCCCTTCCTCCTGAGTTCTGCGCCAAGAACCCCCCCCCTATGTACATCACCCTCTACTACGTAGTCACCCGGCTCCCTGACACCCTTCGCCCGGTCAGGGACCACTTTCTCTCTGTTTGCCCCACCACCCTCACCGTTGACCTCCTCGAGGAGCGCCTCCTAGCAGCAGAGAAGAGCATAGTCGCTGTAGGAGCCTCTCGTGGTGACCCTCGTGCCCCTGTCTTTGAGGGATGCTCCCCCTCTCCTCTCTTGCCCTCTGTTGCCTCTTCTGCTGCGGCCGACCTCGTTGGTCTTGAGTCGGTCGGTGCGGCGTCTGCCCCTAGCGGGAGACGCCGCACTGGCAAGGGGGCAAGGGGGGCAGGGGCGCTGGAGGAGCTAGCGGGGGCGGTGGAGGCGGCGGTGGAGGCGGCGGAGGGGGTGGGGGTGGCGGTGGGGGTGGTGGCGGGGGTGGGGGCGTCGGTGGCGGCAGTGGAGGCGGAGGCGGCGGCGGCGGTGGCGGTGGGAGCGGAGGTGGCGGAGGTGGCGGCGGTGGAGGAGGCGGCGGCGGAGGAGGTGGAGCTGGTCGGGGTGGCGCTGGGCAGAGGGTCGGCTCCGGTGGTGGTCAGCGCCAGCAGCAGCAGCAGCAGCAGCAGCGCACTCGTGAGATCCCCCCCCCTCAGCAGCTTCGTGAGTGGTACGCTACACGCCAGCGGGGTGGGGGTACTGGTCCGTGCACCTACGTCCTACGCACCGGCGACCGCGCGGGTGAGCCGTGCGGAGGTGCGCACTCCACCCAGCGCTGCTTTGGCCGCCTGACGGACGCTTGGCGTCACCAGTTCCCTGAGGCCACTGAGATCCCTCACTGGGGCGAGCTGTCTAGGGCGGGAGTAGCTATCTTTGACCTTGACTTTGATGCTATTCTTGCTGCCATGTATGCTGTGACTATTAGTGATGAGGGTGACTGTTACTGGTGTTTTCCGCCCGACCCGGGCATTGGGACTGCTGCTCTAGGTACTGGTGAGGCTGCTGCTCTAGGTGCTAGCGAGGCTGCTGCTCTAGGTGCCAGTGCGTCTGCTTCCTCAGGTGCTGGTGAGTCTGCTCTCTCAGGTACTGCGTCGGCTCCGGCCTCCCACACCTTCACTCTTGACTCGGGGGCTTCTCGCTCCTTCTTTCGAGACCGCACCACACTCACGCCGCTTGGTCGGCCAGTTGCAGTCTCTCTGGCAGACCCCTCTGGGGGTCCTGTCCTTGCTCACTTCTCCACTGTCCTCCCGTGTCCGGTGGCCCCCTCTGGCACCCTGTCTGGTCTTTACCTCCCCTCGTTCTCTACGAACTTGGTGAGTGGTGCTGACCTACAGGATGCGGGGGTTCACCAGTTCACTCCTGCGAGCCAGCGTGTGACCCACTGCACGGACGCTCGGACGGGCCGACACTTGGCCACGTTTACACGTCGGCCGGGGTCGAGCCTGTACACACTGACCACTGAGTCTCCTCCAGTCACTGCGTCTGGTCAGGCAGCTGCGTCGGGTCAGGTGTTTACTGCAGCGTCCAGGTCTGGTCCTGAGTCTGCCCCCTGGTCGTGTCGCCTCCTGTCTCACGAGACTCTCCTCTGGCACCACCGCCTTGGTCACCCCTCCCTGCCTCGTCTCCGAGGCATGGCCTCCCGTGTCCTTGTCTCTGGTCTTCCCCGCTCCCTCCCTCCCCTTCCTCCGGGGCCTGCCCCTACCTGCGTCCCCTGTGTCGAGGGGCGGCAGCGTGCTGCCCCTCACTCCTCCCAGTTTCCTCCGACAGAGGCCCCGCTGCAGACGCTTCACATGGACGTGTGGGGCCCGGCCCGCGTCCGTGGACAGGGTCACGAGCGCTACTTCCTGCTGGTGGTTGACGACTACTCGCGTTACACCACAGTCTTCCCCTTGCGCAGCAAGGGTGATGTCACTGAGGTGTTGATCGACTGGATCCGCGCAGCTCGTCTCTAGCTCAGAGAGAGTTTCGGCTCGGACTTTCCTGTTCTGCGTCTGCACTCTGACAGAGGCGGAGAGTTCTCCTCTGGCCTTCTGCGAGCCTACTGTCGTGCATGAGGCATCCGCCAGACCTTCACGCTTCCGGACTCTCCACAGCAAAATGGGATTGCTGAGCGCCGCATTGGCATGGTCATGGACGTCGCCCGTACGTCCATGATGCATGCGGCTGCCCCCCATTTTCTGTGGCCGTTTGCGGTTCGGTACGCGGCGCATCAGATCAACCTTCAGCCCAGGGTCTCCATGCCGGAGACCTCCCCAGCTTTGCTGTGGACGGGGAAGGTTGGCGATGCGTCTGCGTTCCGTGTCTGGGGATCTCGGGCGTTTGTCCGCGACTTGTCTGCGGACAAGCTGTCCCCTCGTGCTGCTCCCTGCGTCTTCCTTGGCTTCCCCCCTGACGCGCCAGGGTGGCAGTTCTACCACCCCACCTCTCGCCGTGTCTTGTCCTCCCAGGACGTCACGTTTGACAAGTCGGTCCCCTACTACCGTCTCTTCCCCTACCGCACTCCGTCCCTCCCCCCGCCTCCGCTCTTCCTTGTGCCAGGTCCCCCCTCGGTAGACCCCCTTCCCCCTCAGGGTCCTGCCCCTTCAGGTGTGTCCCAGGTAGACACAGTCGAGCCTGTGGAGGTCGCT